CTGACGAGAATTTATCGAAAACAAACGTATGTTCGCCAATTTATCTTCTGATATCCTCTTTTGCTCAATTTTTTCTCAACTTAGAATCCGTAAAACGAGTGCGCGAAGTGTATTAATGTTCCTCTACAAAAATAGATATCCACTCAGCGTGTAATAAGCAGCATAATTAACTGATGGAGCATCTGAACGCAGGAACTGTTATCTCTATCTGATATTGCTGGCTTTTTAGCACCTAAATCATCTTCTCCCTAAGGCTAAAAGATCCTGCACTTTTACTTACGGTTGCTCACCTATTACTAGGATATTGACTGTGAATCCATGCACTTCTCAATGACGTTTTGCGCATTGAGCGCTGTCACAAACCCGTCCAAATCCATAAATAAGCCGTGCGTGAGAAAACTGTATTCAAGTGCATCATTTGCCATTTAGAATGGATGACAAAGTACTCCAATACGTTCTTGACCTAACTAAAAATTAACGGGCGACTTAAAATGCATACGATGAAAATATATCTGGAGGAAATTTACCGGATATTCTCTCAGAACACAGTCCGTGCAACACTTTCGATGTCTTGCATAATTTATATTCCACTAGCGTTAGCCCGGCAAATCCTGAATCTTCGATGTATAGCGTGTTCGTCACAAATTTAGCTACCTAGGACATGCATTTATTCCTGATATTCTACGGCTGCTTTGTTTCAACTTTCCAAGCTTGAATAAATCAGTCGACTCAATGCAATATTTACAGAACTATTAAGCACATTGAATAACTCTCATTTTTACTGATTCTCGGCGTTTTCTAACTATATACTGCATATGTATTTTAAGAAAGTTACATTTTATTATAATATTACAGTTGATCTTTGTTTATCTAAAAAGGCTTCCTAAAACACTAAGGTTTTATTTACTTTACCGACTAAGTTGCATCTTTTGCGAATGTCAATGTCTAACATGCAGATATTATGAGAGAGGTTGCAACAATCGTCGAAATCTTCGTGTCTCGAAACGTTTTTAAGACCAAATTCCATCTTTCTACTTACCTACGGAGGACGCAGGGTTTGCTGAAATGAGCCAATGATATAACAGTCTACTGACAATATGAAGAAACTGTAAGTAAGTTCATATTATACATTAAAATCCAAAACGACACCCTGTTGAAGACCAATTCACAAGTGCGAATCGTACACATATAATGATGGCGGCCAGAGCAAAATGCGACATGATTTGTATTATACTGCCTGAGCAAAGTCTGTATGAAAACGTATAATATAAACTCACATAAGTAACCTTCTCAGTATAGAATTGCATGTCTTGTTATTGACCATCTTCTCTTTAATTTCTGTGCATACGATAACGCTGGCCACAATCATCCGCTCCTTTTGACGCTTAACCTATAATTTACCCTACGTCTACGTGTTCCTTTGACCGTTTATTCTCTGGCAAACAAAGTTTCTTTGAGATGAGTTTTGAAGAAAGGCATACGTATGGCAGGCTCTTTTGTGTTTCTAAACGAAAGGGAATATCATACACTGGGTTGATGAAAGACAATTTTAAAAACGGCTATATTTATTATAGCATCGTGGACATAATGTGGATCGACACTTCAACTAATATGAGTTAAATAGACACAAATTGACATAAAGAGTTAACAATTGAGCATGGACCTGATAAAATGCAGTTTTACGTAAGTTAACGTTCATGCATGTATGGTCTGTGCGTATCCTCTCTGGTGTAATACAACCGTTTCAGACAACTTGAATCACGGTTAAAATTTCGTGTTAAACGCAAGCATTCTGTATCGTAAAATTTGTTTCTAAGGACACTCAACCCGGCTGGTTTGGAGGAAGTCAGTAACATTCCGATGTCACCCGGTGCGTTCTTCCTTCTTGCGATCCGATGTTTATAGGGCAGTGATTAGCAAACTGTTTTAGCCCCGAAGCATTCACAGCTTCCGTCAGGTCATTTGAGGTTGACTATAAACAAGTTGACAAAAAGCACGTGCGAAACCACTTTAGCCCTAATCAAGTGTGTGTTTTAGGCTAACGGACCGCCACTGGGTGTCATTCAAATCGGGGTCAGCTCGCAGCGGGGTTTCAATGTTCTATATGTA